CGCTCTTATGCAGGGCGGTCTCATCGGCGTCGCTGGTCAGTTACCGGAGAGGTACATGCAGGCTGTCCTCGCCGGAACCGCAGGCTCCGGTAAAATTCCTCTGCCCCCAAGCTTCTAATTTTTCGTTAGATATTTCCCATAACTGGATATTTTTCACAAACATACTCCTTTTCCTTTGTCTTCTAATCACAAACAAATTCATGGGTTCAAACGATGAATTTCCAAACTTTTTTTGATGCAGGGGTTCTTGTTTCATTTCTGAGAATCTTAACTAAAGCTGTATACCCTCAAGATCCAGATGGGCTACGGAAAAGCGCAAATCTTTACTTTGCTGTGGGAATTGTTGTTATGGTCATCTGTTTTGTGTTCTACAACGTAGCAGACAGACTTCCTGTCATAAAGTATTATGATGAACTCAAGAACGAGGCTATAAACGAGGAGAAACAGGCAAAAGGTTCTTTAACAGGATCCGTATGGAGAAAGACCCTCTGGGAAATTGTGGTGAGAGTAAAATCCTACGGCTTTGGGATTGTTCTCATCTACATTGTGACCCTTTCAATATTTCCAGGCTTCATCACTGAGGATGTTCATTCAGAATCTCTCAAGGACTGGTACCCGGTTCTGCTCATTGCGGCCTACAACGTGTTTGACTTGGTGGGCAAGTCATTGACGGCAGTGATTATGCTCGAGGACGAGAAAATTGCAGTTGGAGGTTGCATTGCAAGGCTGTTGTTTTACCCGCTCTTCTGGGGTTGCTTGCACGGTCCGAGGTTTCTAAGGACAGAGATTCCGGTTACTCTTCTTACATGCCTCTTGGGACTCACTAATGGGTACTTAGCGAGTGTTCTGATGATTCTTGCTCCGAAATCCGTTCAGTTGAAACACTCCGAGACTGCAGGTATCGTAACCGTACTGTTCTTGGTTACGGGTTTGGCTGCTGGGTCGATCTTGGCTTGGTTCTGGGTCGTCTGATTCACCCAAAACATACTGGGTATGTAACTGTATTCTACATTCGGCAAACCTGTGTAAAACTCGACTTCATTATTCTTTGAATTGCCATTTCACTAAACCTTGTCTGATACATTTTACAGTGAATCGTGTGTAGGAGTGGAATATATGAATAGGACAGGGAAAGAACCAAACTTCTATGTCGTAGGAGCAGAAGCCACGTGAACTGCTTCTATCTCATATCAGATTTTAAGGATTTCTCAATTTGATTCTGAGCTTTCTAGCGATTTGCAATGCTCTTGGATGGATAGGACGTCTGGTGCCATCAGACTCTTCTACCTCCACCCAGTTGATAACTTTCAGAATCAGAGCTTGTGAAACCTTCGTTGTATCTGCTCCTGCAGTTCCTTTAGATTTCTTCATTCCCTTCTCAAGAGCCTTTTCAATGAACTCCATGAACCAGTTTGCAGCTTCGTTCTCGATCTCCTTTGCCAATTTTATCGTGTTACTTAACCCACCACCAGAAGCTGGGTTCTTGTTCTCGTCGTTTGATTTCAACACCTTCCCTGAACTCTGCTGCTTCAGAGCAGCCCGCCTTTTCGATGATGCAAGTTCAGATCTTTTCTCCTGATCGACTGAGTTGTGAGTGATCTCGTGTAGGATTGAATACGACCCCTCTTCTTCCCTTTGCCTATTGTTTTCAGAATTAGAGTTTTTGTTTCCAGTAGCCAACAGCTCGCTCACCGCTTGAGCTATCTGGTTGTGCAATTCCAAGAATTGCTCGAAGCATAACGCAGGGGCTTCGGTTTCTGCTGACTTGCTCAGATTGGCGAGTGCCCTTTTCAATAAAGCACAAGAACAGATATCAGACCAACAATCCAACTCAACCAACAGATCAAACTGTGGAAAAGGAAGGTTCTTTCGGTTTTTGAGTTTGATACTTGAGATGGCGGACAATGGTTTCAGTGGCGGTAGCCTCTCTCAGTGCCTGGAGGGCTTGCTTCTGAGCCACCTCTCGATGTTGTATGGCTTCCTGTAACAGAAGACTCACACCATTAGATGGAAGACGCTCGCAACTACTGAATTTCAAAAGCTGGAAATTTAACCCAACTACCGATTAGCCACAACCGTTGAATCAATTCGGGGGCGTTAGCCTCTCTCAGTGCCTGGAGGGCTTGCTTCTGAGCCACCTCTCGATGTTGTATGGCTTCCTGTAACAGAAGACTCACACCATTAGATGGAAGACGCTCGCAACTACTGAATTTCAAAAGCTGGAAATTTAACCCAACTACCGATTAGCCACAACCGTTGAATCAATTCGAGATGTGCCTAACCAGAATCTATCAAGTTACCCACCAATCATTTCGAATTACCTTGCTCAGTATGCTCAATCTTCCGGGCAGATTTGAAGGCAGACTGGTGGAATTCTTCTCCGACCTTTCCAGCTTATCGTGCAGAGATTCCTGTCTCTGTGCTTCTCCATTCGCTTCCGTGGAAGCTGCAGCAATGGCGGCTCTTCTGCCGCGCAAACTGGGTGGCGGTGTTGTGTTTTTCTTTTCCTGTCCAAAAGAGAATAAGCTTTGTTTTAGTTCTGTCCTGAAGAGACTCTGTACCTTTTACCAAAGTGAAATTCACAGAACAAAGGATCTGAGTGATTCGACCATTTCTCAGCAATGTCATGCTCTAATTCTTGTATCGTCCTAATTACGATGAAAACGGCAAAGAAAAACAAAATGTACCTACAGAGGATTTGATGGGACTTAGAACAGAAGAAACGGAGATCTTCGTCTCGCAGACACTTCTGCTCCTCGGGAATTTCGAAGCTGTCGGAACGACGCAACTCTTCCTCAGCGCCGCCGGACTGTCTCCTTTCAGATCCGCCATTTTCGTCAAAATCCCGCCTCCGAAGGAACTCCTCACTCCGCCGCCACCGCCGCCAGATCTTCCCCTCGACATTGGAGACGCCGTGAATCTCGCCGAAGCTGGCCTTTTCTTCGCCGGCGTACATTGGTCGAAATCCAACGGCACGGGTTTCAGAACTAGCGGTGACGAACTGTCGCCGTTTTGGCCCCAAGACCCTCTTCTGGGCCTTGATCCAGGCTCCTGACCAGATCTCTCGGCCTTTCCCCTCAGACCCATCAACGGCTCCGGCGTGCCGAGGAAGGGGTGCCGACCGGGGATGGGCTTGGCACCTTTGACGACGGGAACAGGGGAACCTGGCTCGAGCCTGTCGACGTAGATGAACTGACCCAGCTGCATCTTGTTGCTGAGGACGACGTCATCTTGGTCGGAAGGGAGGGTGACGTAAATGGAGTGAGAAGAATCGGAGACTTTGATGAAGAAGCCATGTCTGGGCAAGAGATTCTTCTCGTCGAGATCAACCGGGACGATGTCCGTTACTTGCAGTAGAGAGCTCCGGTGCTCGCCTGTCGGTTTGACCCCTGTTTTCATCCCGTCGAGAAGATTCTGCAGAACCCCCGCCGCCAGAGCCGCCATTGCTGCCGAATTTGAGATTCAGAGGAGAAATTCAGAGATTCAAGAAATGGGTAATGATCAAGAAGAGCCTTTTAGTTTCGTTGATGGGTTGCTGCGGTTGTGGTGAGATTATAAAAGAAATCGGATCTTTTAAAGAAACGGGGCTCTTTTGCGGAACGTTGCGGGCAACGGTCGAATTTTTCTGGTGGGTCTTATGTCTTTTGAATATAATACTAATAATATCCGTAGGATCATTTGGTTTGGTAGTTTCTCACCCATTTTTTATTTGTAGTTGCTCCGACATTGAATGAAATGGCGTCGTTTTTAGCATATTAGGATTTCAGTCACGCCTCAAAGTTAGGTCCTTTAGGAAATATTGACAGTAGGTAGGTAGATCATCTTCCTCGTCCGGTAATGAATTGAACAACCGAGTTTTTTTTTATGATAGCTAACCGGATTGCGTACATGTTTATGTGGGTTTAACTAGCGTTTTAATTACTTAAATTATCCATTAAAGTAAATATATCTCAAAATGTGAAGCAGGAGTTTAACTCAAATTTAATCAGTATTTGTCTTTTTACGACCAAGCAGGCAAGTAGAATGTCACAAAAAGAGTTTCTGTTAAGAGCAAACTTCTGTTGTCCAAAGATTTGAATCGAATAGATAGAGAATCAGCCATAAATTGAATTTTCCCAAGAGAGGGCCTAACATAATTTGTTCACCACAGATGGGTAAATTTATTTCCCGAGCAAAGAGCTAAACAGCCTTCAAATACAAAACATCCAAATAAACACAACAAAACATCCAATTATATGATTTCAGCACCAAAATCTCTTCCAACTCCAACAAAATTGGAAGGGAGAAACACAGGAAAGTAATGCTGACATGAATGAAAACCAATTTCGGTTTCTTGGACTCTTGCAAGGAAATGCGATTCATAGGGCCATGTTATAGCGGTGTTGCGAAACCTGCAAATGCCCGAGACAGTCTACATTAGCCGCTGCATGATATTGCCTAAACACGAGAACATAGCAGAGATTCTGACAATGTAACAGAAAGAAAACAAAAAAAAAGAGAGAAATAGCTTCAATAGAAGTCTTACATATATAATAACATACACAAGGAAAAATGTAAATTTTGAACACATCTAAATGCTTTCTGCTTCTTAAAAATGGAATCACCGACAAAGTTCTACACAACTCGATCAAGTAATCACGGATACGCACTACCCACATAGCATTTAGCATCTAGCTGAAGAGGCCACTTGCTATTAAGAGAGCATTAGACAAGTAGGTAGCTTAAAGATAAGCAAAATCATGTTAACATTGTCTCGCCCCTTGGACGTTTTCGACAAATATCAGAATTGGAAGACAAAACAAAACTCGGCAATGCAGATTTAAGAGCAGGAACATATAGAAGAAAGAAAGCATACCTTCAGACAGACAGCCCCAGTTTTGATTGCTCAGAGATAACAACGAAGTGAACAAAGCTGAGGCAGTAACACTATGCAACGGCATCACTGACAACACTCCTCCCAACTCCACAGGAACCCTAAAAACAGCCATTACACAAAATCATTCTCCTAACAGTGAAGATGACAGGAAAACAAAATCAACTGGAAACAATGGAGATGACATCAACTGATATGGGAATTCTCCGGAACTCGATATTTATTGTAACTATTCATAATCGGATCAGACTTGAAGACCTATAACCGCGGAAATCAGTGAGTACAGAATTAAGTAATGCTTCAAGAATCGACTAAGAAATGTATATTCGGATACACACGGCTAGGGTTTGGCAGCTAACCTGGAGGAAGTGAACCTGCGAAGCGAGAAGCGAGAAGAAGCAGATGAACACTCAGAAACAGAAACTCCAGCAAATTTCAAGTCATTCGAAGCGAAGCGCGCCACCGAAGAACGACCGAGAAGGGTTTTCGCGGACGATGACGCGAACTGTAGGGTTCTTCTCGCGCCGTTGGCCGCCATGATTTCTCTCTCTCGGAAACGACTCTTCAACTTCGGCACGATAACGTGAGGTTTTAGATTCGGGTCGGGCTTGGACCCGATCCAATCCATCGATAATTTTTTATGGGCCTTACATAAGCCCAATGGGTTCAGAATAACATAACCAAGTATTTTTACTTGCTTTAGTTATATATGGGAAACGAAACGAAGAGCCTATATGTTGGGCCTACATGGGCCTGTTTATGGCCCATGTTTCAAACCAACCGAATACAAGTGGACTTGTCGGTTAGCGTTAGGTTAACGCGAAATTCACTCTCGACGATCTCCGGCGAAGGATCAATCCATCGTCTCCTTCCTCCGTTCGCATATCGCTCAATCGTAAGGACGAGTTTGTCGCGCCTTCAGAGGATACGATCCGATCCCTTGGCTTGACATCCAGTGACCTCATATACTACTTTCTCGAACCATCTGCTTTTAATGCATCGTCTCTGGGCATAACTTCATCGTCGGAGGCGCAGCAGAACCCAGTTTGTGATCTTGAAGATTCGTCAGAAAATTTGGGAGATCAGAAAACCCTAGTTCAAGAGTTTGAAACGGTCCGGGAGATTGAAAGCAATTCGACGGGCAACGGATCTGTAGAGCTCGGTGGCGTTCCAGAAAACCATCATCTGAATATGGATGTTCAAAAGCAAACGAAAAGCGATCTGAATTTCGGCGGAGAAGAGCCGATCGCGGTTTCGGGTATGGAAGGGCCAGAGCCTATGGATGTTGAGTTTTACCGCGTGGGTTATGCTGATGCGAAAAGGTTAAGCGAGCCGTTTTTCTTGAAAAAGGTAGTGTTGGAGGAATGTACGGATACGAGTGAATCGATGATCATGGTTATGGCTGTTCATGCGGTGATGTTAGAATCTGGATTCTTGCTTTTGGATCCTGAATCAGGTGTTCGTGCTGAAAAGTTTAGTTTTTCGAAGGAGACTGCGAATTCGATATCACTCATTTATACTCTACCCGAGCTTATTACCCGTAGCGATCCTAATAAGAATGAAACCGTAAGCTTGAAGTTTCAGAGCATAGGTCCCATGCTTGTAGTTTATGGTTCCCTAGGGGGGACAAGTTCGCATAGGGTGTATCTCGATCGCCGTAGGCTTGTCCCGACGATAGATTTGGTCATGGAAACTTTGAAATCTAACAAAGAAGGCTCTTCGAGAATTTACAGTGAGGTTTTTGAGTTTTGGAGGATGGTAAAGGATGGTGTTGCTATGCCATTGTTGATCGGTCTTTGCGATATGGCTGGCTTGGAGCTTCCTCCTTGCTTGATGCGCCTCCCTACTGAGCTAAAGTTCAAGATACTTGAGTCACTTCATGGGGCTGATATCGCCAGAGTGGCCTGTGTGTGTTCGGAAATGCGGTTTGTGGCTAAGGACAATAATCTGTGGAAGCAGAAATGTTTAGAAGAGTGTGGAGATCTTGTAAACAGAGAAGAGTATGCGGTTAGCTGGAAGGCAAAGTTTGCTGCTTTTTGGGAAAAACGCTGGAGGGGTTACAATAGAGTGCCTGGGAGAATCAGGCCGCCTTTTGGTAGGGTTCCTCCGATCTGGAGAGACCCTTTTCCGATGGGGTTTCCTCCAGTCGCATGGCATGATGGAGATCGATATGGCGTTCCTGCAGATCACCTTCCCTTTCGGCTTGGGCATCTAGGAACGGGGATTGGTCAGCTCAGGGGACGGGATTCGTGGCCAAGATGCTATCTCGGAGGACTCAACTAGCCAAGACTTTGTAATTGGAACCGGTAAACCCGACCGTAGGACTCATCATGTCTGGCTCGTAGCTAGCTATGTCTCTTTTTTTTATATTTCATCAGTATATCAGGATTTTCATTTGCCATCTATCATCAGAGGAATTTGCTAACCGCAATCACACCATCGACATAGTATCCGAGTTGCTGATCATCATCGAGATAACTCGTAAAAATTCAGACAGTGTGTTGGTCGAAGAAGAAACTCATGGTTAATAATGGCTTAGATCATGTTGTGTTTCAGTTCTCGTAGTGTGTGTGTGTGTGTTCGCTGCCCCATCCAACAGCCAACCACCTCGTGACCCTCTCTTACCTTTTGATTTTTTTTTTCATTTTATTTTAAAAATTAGATATTATTTAGTCGGTGGCGCATAAAAATTATGAAATATTTGCTTTACTGGTACCACCTGATGGATATACACACATTAATATTTACTCATCTATTGTTTTCCCAAACTAAAAATATGAATACATTCAACAATCACTAACAGGCCTTTTATTGTTACTAGATATATTGATATTATAATCCCTCTATTTAATCCTCGATATAAGCCAAGTGGAAGCCGATCCGACATGGTTAAGCTTCGCCTAGTCGGCGATGGTCCAAGTCATGTCGTTCTCGAATATCCAGTGGCAGACTTCGATCTGTCCCGGCCGCGACCCCAGTGCCACAAACGCTCCGTGACTCGGACCCCATGCTGATGTGTCGATGTGACAGATGGCGACACCATGATTGATCTTGGCTTTGCTTTCTGGATCGAGAAGATCCGATTCGTAGACCCGAACCTTGGGAACCGAGTGGCAGTAATACAGTAGATACGGATATAGACTCTGGTGACACGACACTGATTTGGTCACTTCTCCACCGTTGATTGCTCTGACTTTTCCGATCATCATCTTCTGCTTTGATCCAGCTACGTTCTCCGTCGTGCGGAGGACGATGTTGCGGCCGAGCACCGATGTGGCGAAATCGATCATGTCCTCTGCCGATCCGACGCAGCGTTTCGTCTCGCCTGCGGTCGGAGGCCTCTCACAGTCGCTGAGCGCGTCCGAAATTATGCCCTCCATGGTCGAGTTGTCGCTGACGCGGAAAATCCGTTTGATGTCGGCGATCTTCAAGATCGAGAAGGGTAATTTAGAGATTATGCTCCGGGGTAAGAACGACCTTTTGGGCATTTTATCCCTGATGTCCGGCATCGTAATCACGGTCCCTTCCTTGAGTTTCGCCTCCCTGAAGAACTTTCCCGCCTCCACCCACCTATTTACGGATTTGCCATCTCCGGCGGAGGAGATGGGCATGGTCTGATTGTATCTGGCGAATTCCACGCCGGTTTTGGCGTAATCCTTGAAAGTGGTGTTGACGCCATAGGACTTAAAGGCGACCTTCTGGCTCTCTGCTCCTTTGCCGTAGCCGCTGAAAGTATCTGACCCGGGATTGAAGGTTTTTCCGTAGTTTACGAAATTGACTTTCTCGGCGTTGGAGTTCTTCGCGTACGAGGAGAACGAGTCGTCGCCGACGTTCGCCGTGTCTCTGTAGTTCGAGAAGGCCTCGACGCCGGCATTCCCGGCGGCGCCGTAGTTCCTGAAGTTGTTCTGCGGGACATTGCCATCGCTGCCGTAGCTGGTGAAGGTGTCGTTGGCTCCGTTTCCGTGTTCGGCGTAGTTCGAGAAACCCGACCCGACAACGTTGGACGAGACGGCATACGAGGAGAACTCGTTCGCCGCGCCATTTCCGTGTTTGCCGTAGCTGGTGAAGGATTGACCGGGCCCTGCATTGGCCTCGTGCGAGTATGTCTTGAAGGTCTGAGACCGGATGCTGCTGTCAGAGTAGGAAGTGAAGCGGCTCGTCGGATTGTTGACGCCGGTCTGGTAGTTGCTGAAGTCTCCGCCGCCTCCGGTGGCGGACCGGCCGCATGTATTGAAG